AAAACAATCACTCTGGTTCTGCTTTTTAGCCACAAGATGAAGACAGTAAATAGGGAGTTTTGAACAAGACTTGTTAGCCCATAAGTGCCACAGAATGTCATTACCTTACCGGGGTCAGGAGCAGCTGCATGGTGTGGAGGATCAACCTTAGAAGTTAAAAGTTTAAATCATATCGTATTTCAGAATAATGATTTAAGAGCAAACAGATATGTTCTCATTAGTGCACTGAAAAATCGTGCCTCCCTGTCTGTATGTCAGAGGAGGCAATTAACAGCTGTATTAAAATGGCATACACATTCCTAACAACACGTCTCTATTACCTCCCATTACTCATTCACTGTGTTCCCCAGTGATGTCCCAGTCTGCACCTCAAATTTATGCACCAAAAGGGATTGCAGTTTTAGGAGGAAGCGGTGAAACTCCAAAGACAATTCATCTTAGGTTGCTCCCTCACTCGCACAGACCACACTCACATTATGAGGAGGATCAGGTTCACTTTCCATGCCTTGTAAAAAGTGTCTTTATTTTGCTTTCCAAGGGGGAGGGCTGGAAGGAGAGATTCTCTGTTCTGACATACAGAACCTCAGGATAAGGAAGGTTTTGTGAAGCTGAAGATAACTGGGTATGCATCTTTTGCAGTACTGAGCTGCTTTCATCCTTGACATTTGTCCCAGCTCTCTTTATTTTACTCTGTTTTATCTCTGCAAGGCCTGATCAGCTCTATCTCTCTGCAAGATTACCTTTTCCCCCTTATCCTGGCAGGCAGAAGTGTCTGTACCTCTGGGCACAACAGTCTTTCAGTGTGGATCTAAGTAAACTGTTTAGTGGTTGTGAAAAAAAAAGGGCTCTGTTCAGCCCTCAGCTGTAGCAAAATCAGACTAAAATGAATCTACATTATCCAAAGAAGAAGAAAAATGATATTTTAAACAAGTCCCTTCTTCATAGGGAGGTTTGTCTGTGCTATTCTTAGTTGCTATTCTTAGTCCTGTGTGGCTGGGAAAAGTAGAATTGAAGCGATAACAGTCATTACAAGTTCTTACTGAAAATGCTCCTGTCATAAATCGCTTATGTGCTAATTCTGCTCAATATCCTTTGCAGTTGTATAGTAATATTTCTATCTGTACAAGAACAAATTTCTCTTATAATTTCATAGCTCTGTTTTCCTCTGTATTAGTAAGAACATGCTTTGACACACACTTGCATCTTTCTCATCCATATGTTTAAAATCCTCTGTGCTACCAATCAATTCAGGACACACACTGACTGTATAGTAGCATTGCTCAGGATTTGTTCTGTGTTTTATCACACATTTATTATAACTGCTCGTGCCTTTGAACTTCTGCTGTAGGGTCCTGTGACATGTCCAACACACACCACTCAGACCTCCTGCATATGTTTCATGTTTATGTCACTATATTCATATAAGCTCTGTTATAAATGGACTAAGGAAAGGTTACTGGATCACTCCACTTCTAATCCTTGGTTTTCAGATGCTTTCTGGCTTCTGCAAAATGCTCTGGACCAGATTTTTTAAAAAATTCTTGGTTTGAAGTTTCTATCCAGGAAAGACCTATTTGCAGATGACTGCTCATTTGATTTTGTGCTCACAAAGGAGAGAGGGAGAGAGAGAGAGAGAGAGAGAGAGAGAGAGAGAGAGAGAGAGAGTTTTCTGCAGTGTCACAAAATTATAACTTTTATTCCTTTATTCTTTAAAATTAGCAGTGGCATCAAAACTGAGAGAAAGACAAAACCTGTCAATAAGGTAACCATCACATAAATAGATTATTTAAAATTTTTCAAGGTAGTCAGGAAAGAAGTGAACTTGCATACACAATCAGCTTTTGCTACTGTAAGCATTATTTGCAAATTACATCCTGGCTCTAAGTCCCACAGAAGGGACAATTTTAGCAATACAGGCTGATATGGTAATTAATTGTCTGCTGAAGTGTTCACTGTGTAAGGCAAGCTTGGGGCCAGGTGAAGTGGCATGCCCCATGAGATGGGAGCTGGGTGTGCTCTCCTCTCCTGTGCACGGAGCGCACTGAGCGCCTCGGAGGCAGAGGGGCCAAGGATGAGCCGGGCAGGCGTTCCAGGCTGGTCCCCAGGCACCAAGGGCTTCATTGCTCCAGTGCAACACAACCAGGGCCACACCTGCTTCTCCCCCATGCATCCTTTTGTGTAGAATGAGAGCAACAGCACGAGACAGAATATTTGGTCCACAGGATCCCAGATGATTTGTCCTCCAGCACCATTATACAAGCGGTACACAGCAAGTTGCTTGTGATGGCAGAGAGGGAGGAGGAGAAGGAATGAAAAGAAGCAGCTAAACTACTTTAAGCATCATTAATTAAGAGCTTCTCTGTCATCCTGGAGCAACAGTCCCAAAATGACCACTTTGGCTTTGTCATTGCCTGCTTTTGGGCATTAGTATTAGGTGGTTATCCAAACAGTATCCATATTTCAGAGGAAAATACTTATCACCAGCACTGCCATGACAGTTGTGATTACAGGTAGAGTTTAAAGTAGCAATTACAAAATATATTGCAGCTATATGGGAAGAAGCTCTCAGTTGTAACAATGCTTGTCCCTGTCTTAAATTAGGGCCAATGGTTTTGAACATGTGGTGGTGTTTGACTGTGAGGAAGCTGTTTTCCTTTGTTTCCCAGGCAACGAGTGCTCTTTCATACCCCAATAAATAACTATAACTTAGAAGTATCATTTGATAAAGATATATCTGACCCTAGAGCAGACAAATCCCTATATAAATCATATGAATTATTGCTAAAAAATATGACAAAGTTTGTGAGCTCAGTGTTGTTTTCTGGAAATAAAACTGCCAGCATATTGAACATAAACTTCAATTTGTTTTACTGATTTAAAACATAACACATTACAAATACTAGCAATGGAAATATAATTTATTCCTTACAGATATTTAGTGATGTAATTATTTAGATATTCCTCCATTCTCTAGAGAGGGTAGATACAGAGACAGCTGCAATCAACAGATCTTTTTGTTTTTATTGAGAACAAAAACAAATACAAAACTATACAAAGTTCTACAGTCCTACAATTATCACTACCATCAAGTTTATAGAGAAAACATGAAAATCCAACTCCATACCCAGAAAAGGAAATCACCAAGTCAAAATTTGGTTTGACTCTCTGACTTCTCTTACACTGGCAGAAGCACTTGATGTGATGATTTGTTTGACTCTTTTCTTTTGCTATTAGCACAGTCATTCAAGTGTTCTTCTTTGCATGTTTTGTGACTGATTTCTGTAACTCTCTGGGGGAAAGAAATAAGTTGGCTGTGATCACTCTTAGGGAAGCCAAATGGTAAGGACTAGCACTCCCTCTTGATGGAGTGTGGGACAGCAGGGAGTGCTCCCAGGAGCAGGAATTACATCCTCCCTTTGAACGCCACTGCTCTGCTTTGCAAAGAGTGGTGGAAGCAGAATGGAAGGAGACACAAGTTGCATTATATGTTATTCCTATCCTTGTTGCTTTGCATCCCACCTCTCCCCAAAACCCCAAAGAATGCAGTGTAAGGCTTTCAGTGGTAACAGGTTTGTTCTATCTACTATCAGATCCCCATTATTTTGGTTTGTTCCTGCCCTTACACTTATGCTGATAATGACAAGCTGATGACAAAATTTTTGGCATGAGCAGCCTATAAAAAAAGAACATTGTAAATACATTATTTGTCATATGTTGCATGGCCCTGGAGAGGCACCATGCCACAGTGTCAGAAGTCACTTAAATAGTGTGTGTGTGGGCTTGCAAAATAAATGCCCCCCAAAAGCTTTTCCTCCCTTCAGGCAGCTACTCTGGCAAGTGAATAAATAATCACATCATTTGGTGTCCTAGACTCTGGAAACTCAGTGTAACTATCATGATGTTTACTGGCCTCCTGGCATCTGGAATAAAACTCTGCAGTCCAAGAACAGGCACAGTGGTGCCCAAAAGCAATTTTCATATATGTATGTCTTTTCCTTAAGCTTATTTTTGCCTCTGAAGAAAAACTGAATTAAACTCTCACAACGTCCCAACTAACTCCTAAACTTTCCATAATGTCCTTTGATGTTTTCATTGTAAGTATTCCCCAGTGTGTAAAGCCTCTGCCTTTTGCAGTAAGGCTATCAATTTTCATAAACAGAAGGCTTTCTTGCACCTCCCATACATCTTTACTAGGTTACAGAGTAGCAATTTGGCAATCTGCTTCTTTATTTCATTTTAAAGATTGTGATGCCTCTCAGTCACAGCTATGCAGGACAGGGACATTTCAGTCATTTAAAACAAAAAGAGGAGGAAGGGAGGAAAAGAGAGAAAAAGGAAAAGAAACAAAGTTTCAGTTTGAACAGATGCAAAGTAAAGACCAAAAATTTTCCAGGCGGTGGATGCAGAGGAGAAATACGCCAAATACATTTCACAAGCCAGTTAAGCTTCTACTGGCACCTAATCACTGCCAGATGTTTAGAAGCAACACCAAGAACATCGCAAAACGCTGGCAAAAAATAAACAAATCAACCAGGGAGAAACACAACTCTTCTTCTCGGGGCACCGGCGAGGGGGAAGGCAAAAGTTGGGCGCCGAGAGAAACCGTTCCGGGGGGAGAGCACGCATGCCGCTCACTCACACACTCGCGCAGGGACAGCCCGCTCCGGACCGGGACTGACGGACACGCTCCGAGCCGCGGCGGCGGCGCAGACCCCGCACCCCGGGGTCGCGGTCAGACCCCGCTCTGCCTCTCCCGGCACCGGCAGCCCGTGCCCTGCCCGCCACCTGCCCGCACCGTGTCCCGCGGGCACGGTCCCCAAGACCGCCGTGCCCGCAGTGTCCCCTTGCTGAGACCGTCCGCGCTCCCGCCCCGTTCCCGCACGGCATTCCCGCACGGCGTTCCCGCACGGCATTCCCGCACGGCATTCCCGCACGCCGCCGGTCCATCCGCGCTGCCCGGTGCCCGGTGCACGTGTGCGGACTCCCCGCTCCGTCCCTACCTTTCATCTTGGCGCCGGGGCGGCTCGCATAGGACGGTCGGGGCGCGGCGGGGCTGCCGCCGGGAGCGGCGGGCGGCGGGGCGCTCCCTGCCTACTGCCGGGCCATGACCGCCGCGGGCCCCGCTGCGCAGCCCCGGCCGCTCGCCTCGCTGCTCAGCAGCCGCCGGCACCCAGCCCTCGCCGCCAGCCCCGCGGAGCCCGGCCCGGCCCCGCCTCCCTCCCTCCGCCCCGGGGAAGGGGCCGCGGCCGGGGCCGGGCGGCGGGGGCGGGCTCGGGGTCCCGCCGGAGGATGGGGCTGCGGGTGTCGCCCCCCGGGGGTGTCACGCCCCGTCCGCCGCGTCCTGCGGGACCGCGGGGCTCCCGGGGTGCGGGGCCGTGGGCAGCCCGGGATGTCCGTGGGGAGCAGCCCCGGACGGGAGTTACAGGGCGCCCGTCAGGGACCGCGGGAGCTCAGCAGGGATGTGGTGCTCCGGCAGGAGAACGGTCCCGGCTCTGCACTCCCCACGGCCGTGCAGGCACCCGGGGGATTCCTCTCCAGTGTGATGTCTCCGGGCTCCCCACAGCAGCGCGCCTCACTCGCGGCACGCCGATGGAGGGACCCTGGAGCGGGGGTGCATAGCTGACTGCTGCAGGATGTGCCAAAGTCACCCTGGTGCTGAATGAAGGGCCGCGAATTGTCCTGTTGGATTCAATGGGACTGCGTGCACTACAGGCACTGGAGAGTGTGTGTAAATATTTGTGGGATTAGGGATATAACGGCCAGTCATCTTTTATTTTTCTAGTTCTGGATGTTGCCAGGAATAAGGGATCGTTTCCAGGCTCCTGTTTTCATGAAAGGCATGGTTTGTTTTTCTGCAAAGCTACCAGTTTTTAGGCAATTGAAGGCGGTGATAAATGTTTATGATCCAGCTTTGAGTGTTAACATCAGTGCTGATGAGACAGGGCAGGTGCAGTGTGCCCCAGTTCGTTCTGGGGAGGAATGAAGTAGTGGAGGCAGGGAGTAGTGGAGGCACCAGAGACCCTCCTGATTCAGTGAGAAGATGCACACGATTTTGCCTTTGCAATTAGAGGTACCACAGCCTGTTGAATGTAGGGATGCCCAAAGAAATTATTATACTGCTTGGTCTTTCCAGAGGGTCTATACCTCCATTAAGGACCGGAGTGTACCAGCAAGGTCATGGCTCAGGGTCACAGCATTAATTTAACACCAGGTCAAAAAACATTGGAAACCTATCAAGTAGGATCTCATATCAGCAAGGAATGGAGGATTAAATCCTCTAAAAGTAGTCATTCTAGAGCAAAAATGAAAGAACAGATTCAAAAATCTGAATTCCTTCAGTTGTTCTGATTACTTGAGTTGACATCAGCTTGAGCATGTTTCACTGACTTGGAGGCAGTACCTTTAGTTTGGGACTGATGAAAATATTGGAATACCAGCTGCAGCAGCCATTTGCTGCTTTAAAGCAGGGCTCAGATATCAAAGAGACTTGACTCAGCTTTTAGTTTACACTCTAGCAGTTGGAATATCATGAGTAAAACACTTAAATCTGAATGCAGTCATCAGGTAATTGCGGGGTCCCTGTAGTGCTGTGTTGGATTAGGACTGCAATGTTTATGAGACACGCTCATGCTTACTTGGTGGTGTGAGGCTCCAAAGTTAATTTACAATTTTTATTTTAAAGAATCAATAAAATTCAGTTTTCAAAACTGAAAGCCATCGAAACTCTGATCCAAAGCACATGAGTATGTTTGCAAAAAGAAACCTTTCCATCACTTTTCATTGATTGTATGAAAGCAGTAAATGAAGCCCCATTTCTCCATAGGAGGGTACCTCTGTGTGAAAACACAGTGCAGAAGAAGTGCTTTAAAAAAAGATAGGGAAAGAAGAATATGGCCTTAAACCTGTGTCATCAGGTGACCTGCAAGGAGTAGGACTGTGCAGGAATTTAGAAAATTCCTCAAAAGCAGTAAAGATAACACTTTTCTAATTTTTTATACAGTAACCTTAATGAACTGAAGAGTAGCAACCAAAGCTGCAGAGCCTGATGAGTTAATTTCTGCATCTGAGGAAAATATGTTCCTTATTAATTGAAAGAAAAATTATTCATATTTTGAATTCATACAGAGCTTATGATTGATTTAGTAGGCCTGGGGTCTACCTTCATTCTTGTGGCTTGAAAATATTTATTAATTTGTGAACACAGTGGGACACTTCATATTTCTGGAATAAGCTTCCATATGGGCTTTTAATCATGTAAACTGTATTCCATACTGGATTTCCTATATGTATGTTAGGAATGTGTGAGAAAGTATAGGTAAAAATATGTTAATTTAAATGGCTGATGAGCTTCTGCTAACACTGCTATAAAAATCTAATGTTAGTAAAGAAATGCAGGAAACTCATGAACTGTTTCACACATCAAATCTTTCCTTTAAACCCAAGTATTTTATGTTTTAATTTCTAAAGTGAGCATTCTTCTTTCCTTCCCACAAATCCATGTCTGTCCACCAGAGGAGGGTGTAGGTGTTAGACACTATCACCACCCTCAGCAATCCTGGGATTAACAAAGGGGAGGACAGATTGTTGATGGATCATGGAGATGGGGTAATTGATCAAGCACACTTAACAAACATAAGTGGATAATTGATATTATGGAGCATATACGTTATTGTATATGTTCAGCTGAATACATACATATTTAGGGTGCAGTACACTACATAATACAGGTTTGTATTGTATTATGCTAGGAAACATAATACTGTGTTGCTCAGTCACAGGCCTTCACAAACTTTAGCTTTTTATACACTCTTTCATATTTTTCAAGTTTCATTTAAATCTATGGTGAAATTTGCCAAACACGGTTACTTTGCTTTTCTGCAGAAAACCACTGATCTTCTCAGAAAAAGTTTCAAGTGTATTTTCATATTCTTTTATTTTTAGGAAACTTTAGACCATGTTCTAGGGAAACTAATTTCACAGAAATGCTTCATTTTAGGGGCTTCTTTGTTACCCTAGTTCAGGACATAAATGATGAGGCCTGTTTTTTCATCCAACAATAACAATATAACAGCAGCTTACTACCACAACGGGCTGCCTGTCACAAAGCCATCCCATGTTGCAGCCAGATTCAGACTCAGAGAAGGGCTAAGGGATCTAAACAAATCATCCTTCTTCAGAAATGTTTACATATTGCCTTAATATCGCTTGTTTATATGGAACTATTACAATTTATTCATCAAATGCTGAAATAAGGTGCCCATGTGAGTGCTTTGCAGTTGCTGTGGCACGGTGTGACTTTAAGCACTTACCAACCACATGCACATTGTTTATTTTTTTTTCTTATTACAGTCTCCTCTTGAATATAAAGGAAGTTTGTTTATAATGGGTCTCACTCACTTTTGCTCTGCAAAATGTGTTGAAATTCAGCAGCAATCCAAAAGAGAAAGATGTCAGTGTTTAATCTCCCCGTGTGCACCTTAGAATAAATTGTGCAGGCTGTGCTAAAGTGATTTAAACCCAAGGTAATGGGCTCAGTTCTTGTTCACTTTGATTCCACTTCAAAATGGACCATTACCCTCACCTGGCTCATTCCCAGAGCCTAACCTACAAAATTTGTGCTCTTTGGCAAGTCTTGGAGATCCTGGGAGCCTTGCTCCTTGCACATGGAGTCATGTGTGGCATTCTCTTTTGATCGGCAGCTTTCTCATAGCCTGAACTCCCATACAATACAAAGGGCAGCAATTGAATTTAAAAAAGTCTCAAAAAAGAAATTGCATGCATCATTGAGGAGAACTGCATGTGACACGGGAACCATATGTGGAGGATCATTTGTCTGAAGTATTATTTGGGTTCCATACAAAATGTTCATTTGAAAAGTAAGAGTTGAGTATTATAACATATTTTAATGATAAATCTTTTTCTGCACAACAATTTCATATTGTTGTTAATGACCATTTTGGAGCTCTGCCCAGAGTGAAGACATTATCCTTGGATCTGGGTAATGAGTTTGTAAATGATCCTGAACAAATGGTGAAGCTATTTGCTAAAATTTTTTGTTAAATCTACAGATGAGCCTTTTCTTAATCTGGGTAATTAGCATCATAATTTGAAAGTATTTAGTTATCTAGACTTGTCCCTGGCAAGTGAGGTTGATTTTTGTTTTTCCTTTCCTATTTTTTGATTAACTGCGAGACTGAGGGGGATTCTGAAAGTAGCAAAACACCTGGTTGTCTTTTCAGTATGCCAGAATTACTCAGAGATACAAACTTGTTCTAGCCATGGTTTGGATGTTGATCCTGCAAAGGCTCACGTGCCAGTTCTCTTGTCTTTCAATTGCTGTGAACTTTTTATCTTGGAAGGAAAAGAAGGAAGATAGCTCTAGAATAGGCTGGACAGTCACATTGCACTAAATTTAAATAAAAGCAAAATGCTGGAATGCAAGTAAAAGTACAGCTATTACGATCATCTGCGGGTGAGATTGAGGGACCACTGTTTAATATTTTTGATACTTGGTAAAACACATCATTGTGGTGTTTTTTCGTATTTTGAATGAAGAGAGATTGTTTACAGTTCAGAAAGTTTGAGAAATTTTATTCTGGCAATTTACAGACCAATTTCCTTGCACAGTTTTTTGTCAAAGTTGTCTAAAGCAATTGTAGCCATTGTATCTGCTGAATATCCAAACCAATGAAATATTTGACATTTGCACTCCAAAATTTCCATAATGAAAAGTAATTCCATTACTGCTAGAGTGCTAAAATGCTGAAGACACTAAAACCAAGACCAAATAATTTGTGCCAATTTTATTAGGATCCCTGCAGAAGCAGATTTTTATACATTACTTATGACATTTTGTTTGCTCATAGAATGTGTTTCTTTCAACACACAGAAAAATAATTCTGATTGCCTCAGGAATAGATTCTTATTGCCTGAGGTCTAACCAGGTCAGCTCTCTCTTCAGCTGGAGTATATAAAAATGATACTGGCCAGAGTTTGATTTATGTGGATGGAAAGCAGCAAAGGTCTCTCCATGTTTTGAGACTGTCCAAATGCCAATGACATT